ACGAAGTGAGTTTATAGTTACATTCAGAGTCTTAGTGTAGCATTTATTTGTATCTCCCCAGGAAACAATACCATCGGCTATTAAGGGTGCAAGTGAAAAATATATTGTCCTCAAGAGTTCAATTTTCATAAAGTTGCGTAAAATTCTAAATTTATAAAAAAGCTTTCTCAGAATGAAAATCAGACTGTCTATTGTCACGTAGATTTTTTTTTTACTTGTATATAAAATGTGAAAATATTTGATAAAATAAAACATTATTATAACATTCTTGAGGTCCTGGGTTTTTGGACGAGACACGCGGCGAGTTTCGAAGGGGAAAGCGGGTCCCACGTGGGCGAGGGCCGTCCCAGATCGGACCGGGCCACGTGCGGCTTTTCCAGCCTCCTGCGCCGTCCCCGAGAAGTTTTCCCGGAAAGGACCAACGGGGGGTTTTCGCACCGGGTGCAATTTGACGGAATCACCCGGGCCCGGCCGGTTTCCGCGGTGGGAAACTGTGGAAAAACGGACGCCCGCAGAAGTAGAAGAGGAGGAGGAGAAGGAGGGCTCGGCGACGCGAGACCCACGGTCTGGGCCCTTTTCGATCGTTAAGACTTTAAAACACAAAAAAATACAAAACGTCCTACCAGCAAAAAGAGCCAGGATCGACATAAACCTTTGTTTTCCTCTTAATTAAATCCTTAGCTTTGATTATGCTCCAGAGTTTATAAATAAGCGCAAGAGAGAGGGAGAGAGAGAGAGTGAGTGATAGGGAGGTATAGAGGGTAAGAGTGAGATAGACCATAGATAGATAGATAGAGGAAGAGAGAGAGATAAAGAGAGTGAGAGAGATACGGAGGGAAAGATGGTGAGAGGTGCGATAATGTGAGAGCGATAGGGATGGAGGGAGGGAGGGAGGGAGGGAGAGAGAGAGAAGAGTGAGAACGATAGGGATGAAGGGAGGGAGAGAGTGAGAGTAAGAGAGATTTAGGGAGGAAAGAAGGTGAGAGAGATAGGGAAGGAGAGAGAGAGAGAGATCGGGAGGGAGAGAGGGTGAGAGTGAGAGAGATAGGGAGGGAGGGAGGGTGAGAGTGAGAAAGACATACATAGAAAGAGAGTGAGAAAGAGTGTGTGTGTGTGAGAGAGAGAGAGGAGGGGCAAAGTGAAATAACGCCCGAAACAGACAATTAAGACATGCAGAAAGAAAAAGAGGGAGATTCCAGCATTTACACAAAAAAGACATATACAAACTGGTACATACCTAGAAAGAATGAGAGGTAGAGGAACGAATTCCGGAGACGAAGTTTCTGTTGATTTTTCACCTCTCCTTTTCAGTCTGCTCGGTCTCTCTCTGTTTGTGAAATTGTCTCACTCTCTACTTGTCCGCCTTTCGTACTGTTCCTCTCACCTCTCATTCTTTCTGTATGCCTATCTGTATCTCTGTATCTGCCTGTTTGTATGCATTCATGATTGATTGTTTGTTTCTGTTGTTCTTTCAGTTTTTCCTCTTTTGCCTATTATTCTCTCTCTCTCTCTCTCTCTCTCTCTCTATATATNTCTCTTTCTTTTTCTCTTCCTCCCAAAAATATTAGACGATGCTAGAAATAATGTAAATAACACAAAATAGCATAGATTGAAATTGGTTTTAGCAATGTCTTCAACGGTGTACGCACAATTACTTAAAATTTTAAAAATAATTGGATTTTCCAAATAATTTAAATTCATTTTTTAAATCCATTATATTTAGTGGTCTGATTGACCAAATTACTACTTTCAATTAATTAATCTTTTTGTGTAAGGCTTTGATTAAAATGAAAAAGCGGTGTGGGATTTTATTTATTTTAGGGGGATTTATTTTTTAAATCAAATCTAACTCATAGAAAAAAACTGTTAATTTGAGATTTTGCAGATGGAAACGAACAAATAGAGGAGTTCTACAAGGATCAACGTTATCGTACTTATTTTTCCGCATATCTGTCAACCAAATATTAATATAATAAAAACTAGTTGGTGAGTAATGTTTGCTGATGATATAAATATATATAAAGATAGCAAATTACACATAGATGAGTCTGTAAAAAATTGAAATGAAGACTTAAAAAGTATATCAGATTTTAAAAAATGGATTAAAATTGAATCCAGACAAATATTCATCATGTAAAATATTGGGAAACGCTCGACTTATTCACAAAATAAATAAAATTCCAAAATAAAAATTATTGTTGTTAGAATTGAATTAAAAATTGAAAAACACTTAAAATGTCTTCGTGTTCACATTTTAACAAATTTGGATTGGCAGAAACAAGTTGATTTTATTAGACGAAAGGTGTATGTAAAAATGTATACTATAAATAACGTGTTAAAATGTAAAATTATTAACCTCCCTTTTTTCTGTATACGTGATAGACTCTACCATTCTGCCTTATTTTTTCTGAATGTGTGCGTGCATGACTTTCTTTCTTTCTTTCAGCACGTCTCTTTTTGTTCTTATTTCATTTTTCCCCATTCCGTCTGTTATTTTGCCTATATGACCATACTCTCAATCTGTTCTGCGTCTATCTCACTTTCTAGTTGTCTGTCTGTCGTATTGTCCTTCTCGCCTGGTATTCTTTCCAGATGCCTGTCTGTAACTGTCTTCTCATGTTATTACATGACTCTCCTTTCAGTGGGGTGAATGAGTGAGAGAGAGAAAGAGGTAGAGCGAGATTTAAATATACAGGGTGAATTGCTACTCGTGCTACAAACTTCTCCAGTAGATTCTTCACCCTAAAATGAACAAAAAAGTTCATATGTCCATGGTCCGATTCTCAACCATTTCAGAGTAATTTCGCTGTTTATCGATTTTGAAAGATATCACGTCCTGGCGTCGGAAAATCGTGATATCTTTTAATCTAAACATTTCTCTGAAAATCTAATAGCACCGTTGAAATTCCCGTTAATTTTTCAATAAGAAGATGACGGTGGCAAAATGTTTGGGCTAATTTTTTGTGTTTTATTTCAGCCAGAACTACAAAAAGAGTGGAAAATTGTGTAAATCGGAAAGTGTATAAAGTAATCCAGAGTTTCTAATTTTAGTCTCAGAAGGCAGCAAATTTGAGGAAAACTACCTGATTTAATAACGCTTCCAACGCACTCGTCATTTTCTTATTTAGTGGTTGTGAGACCAAGATGTTGATGACAAAAAGAGAAAAAATGGTGGTTCAAGGATTGCTAATGTTTGAGAGTGACTTGCTACTCGTGCTACAAACTTCACCAGTAGATTCTTGACCCTAAAATGAACAAAAAAGTTCATATTGACCATGGTCCGATTCTCAACCATTTCAGAGTAATTTCGCTTTTTATCGATTTTGAAAGATATCACGTCCTGGCGTCGGAAAATCGTGATATCTTTTAATCTAAACATTTCTCTTAAAATCTATAAGCACCGTTGAAATCCCCGTTAATTTTTAGAGAGAATCAAAATCATAATTCCATTGAAATTTTTTAATTTAATTTAATGCCCATTTAGTATGTAATGCTTAAGAAGTTTACAAACAGCTAGAAGGTCAAGGAAGAAAGACCCAAACGTTTTGCCACCTTCATCTTCTTATTGAAAAATTAACGGGGATTTCAACGGTGCTTATAGATTTTAAGAGAAATGTTTAGATTAAAAGATATCACGATTTTCCGACGCCAGGACGTGATATCTTTCAAAATCGATAAAAAGCGAAATTACTCTGAAATGGTTGAGAATCGGACCATGGTCAATATGAACTTTTTTGTTCATTTTAGGGTCAAGAATCTACTGGTGAAGTTTGTAGCACGAGTAGCAAGTCACCCTGTATATAGAGAGAAAAAGAGTGAGAGAGAGAAAGGGGAGGGGAGGGAGAGAGAGATAAAAGAGAGTGAGAGAAAGGGGGAGTGGAAGTGGAAGAGGAAGAGAGAGGTTGAGATAGATAGATAAATATATCTATAAATAGCCATATAGATAGATATATAAAAAGAGAGAGAGAGAATAACAGGCAAAAGAAAAACTAAAATAACGACAGGAACAAACAGGAAGACAGCAGAGGAAAGAGAAAATTAGAATCATGAATGCATACACATAGGGAAATATAGACAGCCATACAGAAAGTATGTGAGGTGAGAGGTTCAGTACGCTAGACAAGCAGAAAGAGTACACAAGTAGGCAGAGAGGCAAACTCAATGAAAAGGTGAATAAAAAGAACGATCAAGAAAGAGACAAATGACTGTGGAGTTCTGAGAGACGGGAGAAAGGGCTAAAATGTCATCACAGATGAAAGAATTCTGCTCGGTGTACGGTTAATATCATTCGGATAATCCACACGTTTACCTACCGATTTTGTCTTTTTCCAATAATGTGGAAAGCGTGTCTATCGACTCGAATCAGGATTGACAGCGACAACGACAGCGTCAAGGATCGACAAAACCAACAAAAGGGCCGTAAAGGAAAAAAAGGTGTGAGGTCGAGGGTGGTAAGAAATAAATAGGGCGATAAATCCAAACTCAATTAGTGGTCGAGCCGGCGGGGTGAAAGGGCCGGCAGGAGGGGAAAAAAAGGACGAAGGACCCGGCGGATCGTGGTTTAACGACGCTTCGACCTGTGACTTACGCCCCTCAGCCGGGAGGGGAAAAAAAATTGGTAGCCGGTTCGAAAATCCATCATCGGAGCGATTAGAGAACAATGGAGATTTGATGATAGCGCGTTGTAGTAATGATTGCATGGTACTAAAAGAAAATATATGTAGAAATTCCATGGTGAAACGTATATGTACTGGTGAGAAAAGGAAAATAGGCAGAAAGAATGGGATAGATCTTGAATTTACGTGCCATATGGGACAGTCATGACTCATGAGATCTCTTTGCGTCTTAGTGACGGGGTCATTTTACGTTACGGTCTCTGGACTTTTATATGGGTTTAATATTTCATTGATCGAAAATTAACAATTCGGGCTTGATAATGGCTTTCCGGAAGTAGCGAGACCATGCGGCCGGGGAGTTCGGTAGGATTGTAGATGTATTACCTGTTATTGCGGTGACGATCTTAGCAAGATTTGACAGCTTCATCGTGACCGGCGGGGCGGCAGCAGTGCCGTCCTCGTTTACAAGGAAGATCCTCGTATCGCCGACGGACGGTACTCTCATCCCCCGGGCGAACCGGACGTCGACGTCGCCCTTCCTCGACCCCTTGATGAACCTGACGGGATGGATGCGGAGGTCGAGGCCGTCCAGAGAGACGACCGTGCCGGTAAAGACGGCCGAGGAAGACGCGACGATTTCCCGCCCCGGAAGGGAGAACGTGGAACGGTGAGGGGCCGCGGATGTGAGGAGGAGGAGGAGCAGGAGGATGGACATCTTCGCGAAGACTGGAAGACCGGCCGGGCAGCCCGCGCCCACGCCTTCCCCCGTCGGGACGGCAACCTTCTTCCACACCTGTTTCCATAGCGCCTCGTTAATATCCCGACTATAAACAAAAAATCTTGGACCCGGTCAATAGAGAACTAAAAAAAAATTCAAAAAGGCCACCCGACGATTTACTAATTTGAATAAACCACTGACAAGGCAATATGGGGCCAACATATAGCTCTAATTGGACTGTACTTTCTCATAAGTCAAAATTACAATAGAAAATTCTAACACAATCCTGCATATTTTTGTGCTCAAAATAGATAGGAGGTCCTGCATTATTTCTGTGCTTTTGACACACTGAACCTCTTACATAATTTTTTCTGAATTTTTTTATCCTGGCACAATTGTTCTCCTGCCTATTGTTGACATCCTGATACCTTCTAAAAGGTCCTGAATTTTCTTTTCTAAAGATGCACAGGAGCTCCTGCCTCCTATGGAAATCATGGTGCAATCTAGGAGGTTCTGGATTCTTTACTCCAGATGCACATGAGACCTTGCGTACGGTGACTTTCTCTGACAATCCAGGAGGTCTTGAATTTTTTGCTTAAGATGCATAGAAGCTCCTAGGTACTGCTCACATCCTAATACAATCCACGACGTCCTGAACTTTCTTTTCAAAAGAAGCACATTAGCCCTGATTGCTGTTCACATTCTAATACAAACCAGGAGGTCTTGAATTCTTTACTCAATATGCACAGTAGCACCTGCGTACTGTTGACATCCTGATACAATCCAGGGGGTCCTGAATTGCGTTTTCTAAAGAAGCACCGGAGCTCTGATTGTTCATATCGTGGCACAACCCAAGAGGTCCTGAACTCTGTTTGCAGGTCCCATCCTGATATAAGTCCAAGCGGTCCTGAGCTTGCTTGTAGGTCTCATCCTGATACAATGCTGGAGCTCTTGAATTATCTCTCTTCAGGATGTACAGCAGCAGGTGCTATTCACTTCCTTATACAATCCTGGATTTGCTGCACTATTTCTTGCTCCTGATACATTAGAACTTTGCCTTCTCTTAACATCCTGATACATTTCTGGTACTTAGTGTAAGGATTTGCGTTGTTTATTCAGGCACAATCCATTTTTTGTGTTCATTCAAAGTATTTTAATTTGCTATAAGTGCCTTTTTTCTAGGGATGGTGTTGTTATTTGCAAAACCGGTCAAGCCTATACTTGGAATGTTTAAATGAAGATCATTAGTGAAAATTAAGTATATAGGACCCAATACAGACCCTTGGAAATTCCCACGTTGATCTTTACAAAATCTGAACTTTTTTTGTTATCTAAATTGATTTATAATTTTTAGAGTTGAGATGAAAAAATAGTGTCACGAGCGAATCAACGACATTCGGCTCTCCATCCACTAACCACATGAGCTAAGAGCGACTTCGGGCCCCCAGGACAACTACTTATATCCCAACCTACAACCTTTTCCAGTTCTTCCTCTCTTTTTGCTAACCACCTAGTAAACATTATATTACTTGTGATAATTTTCATTCTGTTTGCATTATAAATTGTATCTTATATATTATTGAGATGCTTACGTTTAAAAGTAGTATAATACCTTAATTATAATATAGTTTTTTTGTTTTTGTTTTAATTTGTGTTACATTTTCCCGACATTTATCACAATACATTTGAAAATACCCGCCCGCCGGAGGAGGTGTGACAAAAGAATGTAAGGGAGAAGCGAGAGAGGAAATGAGCAAATCTGATCGTGCCTTTGAATAGGACAGTTAGGCAATCCGAAGATTAAAAATAAGAGAAAAGAGAATAATAAGAAGAGCGAATAAGAAGAGAGAATAATAAAAAAAGTTTTTGTTGTTTCCTTTTCAACATTATGTAATCAAGTCGCCTTTTTTATTTTGTGGAATTAGATTATTATTGGCACTAGCGCAATTTTTCTTTCAAAACGTTTGTTTTTATTTTATTTACAAAATTATTTTATTGGCAAAAGGTTTAATTTTATATTCTGTTTTTCAATAAATTGTTAGTTTATTTTCCAATCGTAGTTATTATTTGACCACCAGTTCAATTTAAAAATTATTTCTTTCAGTTTTTTTTCTCCAATTTCTACATTGAGGGATCCATATGTCACATTTCAATTTATTTCAAAGTGACAATGTTGTGATTTAGATTTCATGATTAGGCCTAGAGTAAAAAATAAGAGAGGATCTAGAGAATAGGAGGCGAGACAGTCAAGTCTAGAAGTGAACAAGACCATTCCGGTAGATGATAGACAAAAGAAGTGTGCGATCCTCAAAAGAATTTAAAAATTTTTGTATTCCTTAAAATAGAGTGTTTCGGTCCACTGCGGATTGACTGTAAACAGTGAGTACCTATCTACCCTTGTTCCAAATGTTTTGGCAAACCAAATTCCAAACCAGGCAAACGGTTTGCATGAAAGTATTGTTTATTTAAATTTAAAAAGTTTTAATTGTTTGTTTAAAATTTAAAAGGAAATTAATTGATTTTAATTGTTATTTTTTTGTGTAATTAATAAATTGTTTTCAAACTTTAATTAAATTTTATTATAAAAAGGCACCTGATCGGCTGTATTTCAGGTTCGATCAAGACCTCTGGGGCTCTGTTTCTCATAAAAAGGATTCAGAGTTGGGCCCGTCTTGTTGAATCGAGAATACACCGTGACAAAATTGGTAGCAAAGCGTGGTTAATTAAATTTAAAAAACATATTTAAAAAAATAGTTCAGCTAATATGTGTGACTCGGAAGAAAGTAGTCGAAATGAAGTTAGGGAAGAACCTGATGTTTTGGATACCTTTCCATTCGAATGAATACATCGAAATATGTAATAGAAAAGGAAATTTCAGAATTCTTAAACGATAGCCCGCAAATCCTACAAAGAAATCCCGTCCCGAATTTTAAAAGCTTTCGAAGAAAAAAAGAAATTTATTACAGATCGGGAACTTTTTCGCGAAGCCTACCGCCGCAAACCGTAGAATTTAAAACTCCAAAAGGCTTAGAATGCTTACCTTTCGCTCCATCAATGGCGATGAAGCCTGCCCTAAGCCCAACCGACTCAAATTATAATCCCGATGACCAATTCATTTCTAAATTTGTAAGCTCGGAATCCGAGGAAGAAAACCCGCGACAAGTTAGAAAATTGGAAGAAAAATTTATCAGGGCATCCAAGCTACATCATTCCATCTTAAACAGAATAAATAAATTACCGCCATTAATATTAAATGATCCTGAATCTATTTTTAATTTCTTGTGTGCATTGTATCCTCTTTTGACTCATTATAAATCGTTAACTTCGGAGATTCTCTTTGTTTTAGCTTAAAATAGCCACGGATCCGTAAGCTCCTTACTGTATAATGCCGCACAAAGAAAAGATATAAACTTTAGATCTTTGCGTGATTCGATATTCGAGTTTCAAGTATCCCCACAACAAATCCTCAAATTAAAAACCAAATATTTACTTCGGGCATTCAATATGCGAAAATATTCCGGGAAACAACGGAAATAGAAACGGTTCGTATTGTTATTGAGCGACTCAATCCTAAATATTTGAGTTTATTGGGTACCAAATTTAAAATATATTCCATAAATCAGCTCTATAAGGAAATAAGTAAAATAGAATTAATTCTGACCAATAGAGCAGCTACTTCACGTAAATTTTTTTATTCGGACAGCGACTCAGATTCATCTTATCAACCTAGCACTAATAAAACAAAGGACACCGAAAATTCATGTCGTTAGGCCTAGAAACTAATAAAACCTTTCCCGAACCGATTGATAGAAACCGAGAAAGAAAATACTTCCGCGGATACGACAGACTAATATCATCATTGTCGGAATCTGAATCAAATGGTCACGCAAAACCAAAATTTTTTAAAGAGAGAAGATCTGGTTATTATGTAAGTAACAGGAATGTCGATTTCAAATCAAACCAGAAGGAACCCAGACATTTTGAACCGCGATAAAATAATCGAATAATAATTTTGGTAGTAATTTTCACAATAGACAATACTGTAGCGACTTTTACCAACAAGGTTATGACAAAAGAAATAGGTTTAGCAGACGGGAATATGAACAGAATTTGGAGAGAAGAAATAGTCAGCGTACTCTTGGAAGAGACAATTACAATAAGAGACATGTCGATTTTGATTACAGAAGGTACAAAAATAAAAGTCCGAATTTTCATTGCACTGATGCACGCGAACCCCTTCAGGATATTAATAAATTTCATGACCGTAGAAAAAAAAAAATATATAAATAAATTTAATGAAGGCTTTGGTAAAGGAAAATACTTGGTGTCTAACGATTTCGAGATGGATAGAAAACAGACAAGGTTTCAAAAAGATTATAATTCTGATAACTACCATCCGCAAATAAATAGGAACGAAAACAGGATCGACCCGCACTATTTTAATAAAATAAAATATCGACCATTTAAATTTCGGGAATCAGCAAAAAACGGAGAGATCTCCGACCAATCGCGTCGGAGAAATTAACAGTAAATACACCAAATTCATCTACAACGGAACAAAATAATAAACATAAACTAAAGCAAAGAAACTTTAATGATTTAATAGGATTCATAGCTGTCATTGATAAGATCATTTTAAAATATAATAAATTTCAAAAAACAAATAATTCAAAAGAAAAAACATTGCGCTGTCAAAAAATCATGTAAATTATAACAAGGGGTTGGATTAATTACGACCATTATAAACAACAAAATTTCAGTGAACGCACTAATAGATTCAGGAACAACGAAATCATCAATTTCAGAAACTTTTTATCATAGGCTTGTAAATTCAAGAATAGTTAACCAAAAAAAAACGAATTTAAGACAAATTTAAAATTAATAGCTGTAAACGGAGAACCCAAAAAAAAAGAATCGAATTAAAAATTATAATTGAAGAGTTTGCATGGAAATTTAGGTTTTTGGTCATAAAAAATCTTTCGGTCTCAATGATTTGGGGTATGATTTTCAAAAACATAGCGACTTGATTTTATATCTGAGACAAAATAAGTACTTCTTTGGTTGTATTGTTTAAATGTAACGCATCAAAATTTGATAGAAT